TCTCTTCCACATGACGTCCGCGCCTGGGCGGAACGTGGACCGCTCGGTGCCCTTGGTCTCACCTCCCGAGAAACAGAGCCCGAAGAGGATGTACAGTCCTCAGGAGGCCAGAGTCACAGGTGAAGGGAAGGGAGGCCGGCAGCAGAAAGCAGGCATCGGCTGGCGAGTGGTCCATGTGCCCGAGCTGCCCAGGGCTTCTCATCAAACGCTGTCGGTTGTTCACCAGGTGTGACCCGCCTTCAGAGCCTCGTGCAGTCACTGCGTTTCCAGATGGTTCATCCAGTGAGCAAGGGCAAGTCCTCTGTTAGCTTGCTTCCTTCTGCCACCTGACTCGCACTGGACAAGGTATGCCCGGGGGAGGAATTACCCTACGTTCCCGTGGAGCTTCCGTCGGCCTGGGAGCAGCTGTGGGCCCAGGACGGTCAGCTCCTGTCACTATGATTACGACCAAGGCCACGTTGAAGTCCAGGCCTGGGCACGGGTGGCGGAGGGGTGGGTGTGTCGGGGCAAGGGCCCCTGCGCGGTGCCTGTGGCTTTGAGGCCCCTGGAACATTAGGGGCTGGGAATGCTCCAAAGGGGAGGCGGGGGTGGGGCCAGGCGGGTAGATCCCAACCGGACCAGGGCTGGCCGGGAAGCTGTCAGTAAAGCTGCCTGTTTTCTTACGACCGTGCTTTACAGTTGACATCAAGGCAGACGTTCTGGATTGAGCAAGTAAACATCAGCTAATGTTCTCCAGCATCAAGAATTCTACAAGAACTTTAACTGTTGGTGAGTAGTTTTCTAAGAGACAGAGTAGGCTGGCTAGTTCACATATGCACGCAACAGAATGCCCAGCTTGCCCGGCCTTTCTTCTGACTTGATCTACTGACTCTGCCGCTGTCTGACTCCACCCTCTGTAACCCATTTCTGGGTGGCATCTGCATGTGTGAAGTTTGCACTTTGGTGTGTGAGGAGAAGCAATGCAGAAAGCAACACACTACGCGAAAGTGCATCTGAGGACTCAGCAGCTATAAAAAGGAAGAAAACGTCGCCTTAAGTGGCACCCATGCCTGTCAGAACCACACGCTGCAACCCCTGATCACAGACTCCAGCTCCTTTTCGGTAAAGCTCCTTTCTGCTAGGCTTTATTTTGTCATGACTTTCAATTCACCTACAAACTTTGTCGAGTCTTTTTAATGTGGTAGACACGATAGAAGCTTCTTCTTTAGCTTTCCACAACCAACAGTATTATGGGAAAAAATTCCCTTTTCTCAACTTGCAAGTGTTTGCCATCTAAAATAGCAGAACTCTATGGATTAAATATGACTCCCAAGTAATGGGTTTTGCTCCTGCAGGTAAATGGGTAAAATATAGGAAGATGGCTGAAATACATCCTGCAGGAACTCAAATGACTGACGAAATGTGTGTGTGTGTGTGTGTGTGTGTGTGTGCGTGCGTGTGTGTGTGTGAATCCTGAAGGACTGTGATCAATCCACAAAAAGCATAGGGGTGTTGGTTGTTCATGCATTATTTTTAGAATTAATATGTTTTTAGTATTAAGCAGTGTAGTAGATATTGTTGGTTATCTGACTCAGAAGCCATTCACAATCTTCTTTTCTTGGTTCTCCCACTACAAACACTAGAAAAGGCAGAGACTAGCGCCCCCACTCTCCAGCCAGCCACCCCTCAGAATCGTCATGGGGCTGAGTTCAGGAGGAGAAGTGAGCATTATTAGTTCACTAAAGGGTTTCTGGGAAATTTTCTCTTATCTTGATGAAAGAGGAGAGATGTAGCTGGCGCTACTTATCCTTCTTCCCTTTCTTTCCTGTTCTGAACACTGAAGTGATGTTTGGAACTGTTGCAGCCCTTATGTGTGTAGGCAGAGGATGGGTTCTGGGTGGATGGTGGCTTCCAGCAGATGCCACCATCCACAATGCTTTTCATTTGGGGAAAAACCCAACTCTTTACTCATCAGTATTTAGGGTTTCTCTAGTTTGTCATTGAAAGCATTCTCAATTGATACAAACATTTGGGGAAAAGAATCTATTCTCTTTCACATAATAAAATATGAATTATGTATTTTGAAAATCTCATATATGCAATCATTCTTATTTAAGATCACAGTAATTTTCATTGAACCACTAAGAATAGAAGCATTGGGACTCCCCTGGTGGTCCAGTGGTAAAGAATCAGCTTGCAATGCAGGGGACATGGGTTCGATCCCTGGTTGGGGAACTAAAATCCCAAGTGCCTTAGGGCAACTAAGCCCGCGTGCATGCGCCACAATTACTGAGCTCATTCGCCTCAACTAGAGCCCGCGTGCCACAAACTACAGAGCCCACGCACCCTGGAGCCACAACTAGAGAGAGAAAACCCGCATGCCACAACTAGAGAGATGCCCACGCAGCACAATGAAGATCCCGTGCGCCACCACAAGTATCCTGCATGCCGCAACTAAGACCCCACGCAGCCAAAAATAAATAAAATAAATAAATCTTTTAAAAAAGAATAGAGGCATATTACATATACATATATATTTATATCTGTCTGCGTGCGCACACACACACACACAAGTGATACATTTCAAGCAGCATACTCCATTCCAATAAAGGAAATGCATGCATAGGATATATATGGAAGAATTTAGACTAGAAGAGATCCCTTTATGTTAGTAGGTAACCTTAGTAGAAACGTTGCATGAGATTCTCTCTGCTTATTATTCAGGATTGATTTTAGTGCTGGAGCGGTAAACAGTGGCTGGAAAGGTTAGATTCATGAAATGCTGGCTGAAAGAGAGCTTTGTCTTCTATCGTCTTCCCTCTGTCTCTTTTAAAGATGAGGGAACTGAGGGGTAGATCTGTGGCTGCCAGAAATATAGCTGCTTAATGGTCTAGTCACTACTAGACATTTAACTCATCTTGTCCCGTTTTATCAGCATTGTTATCCAAACAGCCATCTTTCAGAAGACGGAGAATCTCAAACGACAACTGGACAACGCAAACGTGTGCCACCTCACATACAATAAGGAAATCGATGCGGCCATTCATCGGTGGTTTATGGATTAAATCATTTAATGTAGAGTGCAGCTGGAGAGAAGAAAACGCGCAAATGTTTCAGCATCATTTAAGGGCCAGGATGTCTAAAGCACTTTTTCACTTAACCCTCACGGTGGCTGGAGCTAACAGCGCCTGCTGACGAAGGGGACCACGAAGCCCAGTCCCAGAGCTGGTGAGTAGAGACCAAGGCCCCACACCGAGTCCCTGACACTGCAGCCATGCTTTCCCCATGGCAGCCATACCTCTGCAAAAGCATCAGCTTCAGTTCCCTTTGATCAAACAGGAGCGTGTTCGGAGCTATACTTCCATCTTCCTTCACTTGATTCTTGCCCTTTATCCCTCCCCCTTTCTGTGGTATTTGAAGGCTCCCAGCCCTGCCCCGCCCACCGAGGCACTGAGACACACAGACCCTTCCCACTCCAAAGACAGTCCCTGTTCAGGTGGCTTCAGCTCAGCAATTATGAGGACTTTTCTTGTGATATTATTACAAATGAGTTATTTTGAAAGGGTCTAGGGATTCAAATAATATTGTAGGCTGCTTTGCACATGGACAACCTAATAATACAAATATTAGGTTGTTTTCTCTTATATGCAAGTGCATTTCATGGTTATTCCGAAAAAGTTAAACGTGAAAAAGTATGATTTTCAGATTAAACCATGAGATTTAGATTAAGTGAAGAAAATTCAATGGATTTATTTTGAAGATAAATAGGTGCTATATTCATTTTCTATTACTGAAATAATAAATTACCACGAACAGTGCTTTAAAAGAAACACTAATCCGTGATCCTGCAGCTCTGTAGGTCGGCAGCCTCAGTGGGCCTCTCTGGAATGAGACCAGGGGGAGGGCAGGATGGTCTCTGCCCGGGGCGGCAGTGTCCCCTCGTCGTGGGCAGCTTCTCCTGGCCTCCTGCCCTCTTGGGGTCCTGGTCCCTCCCCATCCTCAGAGCCAGCAGTGTCAGCCCTCCCCCTCCCCATGCTGCCGTCTCCCTACTCCTCTCATTTTCCTACCTCTTCCACTTCTAAAGACTCTAGTGATTACACTGGACCCTCCCGGATAATCCAGGCTGATATCTCCGGGGCACATCTGGTTGGGGCAAGAGTGCCCACCCAGGACTGCGTCTGCTGATCTGGTGGTGTCATCATTTGGAATCACCGAAAAGGACAAGAGGTTTCAGACTGACAAAACCCCCCACAAAACCCAAGGCTAAAAAACAACGCAATTATATTTGCTGTCTGAAAACTTTTTTCTAGATCGTTGAATATAAAGGTTAAAAATATTCTGACAAAACTATTTTGATTTTATTTTACCATTATCCAAGGTGGCACCAAACTAAACAATGGAAGATGACGCTTCAGAGAGACTCGCCTTAGAGCCGTGCTTGCGCAGAAGCCCGCTCACCTTACTTATACTACGCCCTTGCCCCGTGGAAGGAGAGAGGTGGCAGGAGCCATGGGTTAGGGGGCTGGGTCCCAGCTAAAGCCTAAACCAGCTCCCGTACTTGAATAGATTTGTGAAGGTTAAGATTCATGGGTTGTAACAAACAGTACTTGCTTCAAGTTAATACTCTAAATTTGGGGGATCTCCAGAGGAACCAGAGGGAGAAGCGATGTAAAGGTATCTAGATAGACGCATATATAGATAGATATACAGACATAGATAGATGGATGATACGTATAGATACAGATAATAGATATTTTAGTGCTCACACGCTAAATATCTATTTTCAGTTATTTAATGTAGATGTCACAATGTCTGTGAATGGAAACTTAGGTGTCAATACTGTTGAGCTGATACATTGGACTAAAACTCTCAGGACAGAGTGATTTTCTTTAAACACTGCACAGTAGTGTTTATGATGGGTGTGCAGTGGTCCATTCGCAGCTGATGCAAGGTTATGTATGTACTGCAGAAATTCACCGAGGCCGAGGAACCGGCCAGGAGCTCCCTGAATCACTACTTACGTTGTGCTTCGTGAGGCTGGAAATATTGGCCGCTACGGCGTGCAGCCACTCGCCACAGTCCTCAGCAGAGAGGCACTGGATGATCCCGCTGCAGACCCCGTCCACGGCGATGACTTGAAAAGCGTTCTGCCTGCGGAGGTGTCAGAACAAATTAGATCAGACCATCGTCTCATTTGTCTGTTTGCGACTTGAAACAGTTATGTGTTCAAAAGCTCTTCTTTCAAACAACATAAATGCAGCTTCAAATTCATATTTGCTTACTTCCCTTTTAAAAAAAATCTGTTTTTAAATGGAACACTACAGAGGAACCCAGACAACACACAACTTTGAATGACTACAAGGCATCTTGAGATTCAGGTACATTTGGAGAATCTTTGAGATGCATATCTAAGACCTGTGAGCGGGATTCTCTCTCCAGCGTGCCATAAACTTATACATCGATGTTTATCCATTATTTTGGCCACCATCAACTCCTCTTGACATTTTTCAATGCATTCCTGATGTACAGTGGAAAGATCACACAGAAACCGCACGCACAGATACCGAGCACCACGTACAATCTTTTGCTGTCATGAGCTGAAGCGCTTAGTCAGCTGTTAAGCCAGTTGTTCCTCATCATCTCTAAGTCGGTTTCGGATGAGAGGTTCGTAGTTCTTCTCCACGTCTAAATACTCATGCTTGAAATTTATGTGGATGTTCGCATTTCAATAACAACTAGACTCTCCTTAAAACGCCACGGCCACCCTAAATATCTCTATGGTCTTCTACTGAGTTTCTGTTGTCGTTAGAGAACATTCAGTGATGCCGTCCTAAATGGTCTACAAAAGTGCTGTTGAGTTTAAAGCAGCTTCCTACAGCTTTCATTATTTACTTTTACCTTCCTGTTTCAAGTTCTTGCATGTTTCAATACAAGCTTAATGGAGAGGAATGGATAAAAATCCCAAAATGAATGGAAAGTAGCCAAATGCCTCTGTGGTGCCCCACAACGAAGTGCACTCCGCTGTGCCCTTTAGAAAATGCACAAACTATCTTTAAATCCCAGCCATTTCTGAAGCAATAGAAAAATCGTGTAGTTCAGTATTCAAAATGCTAGGTAAATAGTGTACATTTATATATTTTTCTCCAATTAAATTGCTTTTTTGTCTCTTCTGAATTTTGTAAGTAGGAGTTTGTGGATATTACACATGACTTCATTTCTGCAAACAAAGACACCCCAAGCGGCATTTCTCTGGCCCAGCTTCATCAGGAGCCTGTGTCACTCTCCTGTCCCATAAGACTGGTCCGGATTTCAGAACCGGACACGTGGCAGAGACTTTCACACCTACGGCTCTCTGCAACCACGTTATTCATGTTTTCAGAGAAACTTGTTCCGATAGCCTTGACCAGCACTTTCAAATGATTACAGGAAAGTGTTCAAATATTCTTTTTTGTTTGCTCTTAAAAATACATGAAAAGCCTGAGAGGGGACAACGATTGTCTGTCTCTTTGAACTAATGTTTTTTTGAATTTGTGACAAGAAAAAATATGCACAGCACCAAAAGGACACTGTGACTTCACGTGACTTTCTTAACTTTAATTTTGATATTCAAGAGTGAGGAAGACATTTTAAATATGCAGAGAGAAGCTCAACTACCCATGGAAGATGAGAACTAATTTGAGTTAGTGACATACATTTCTCTCTGCTCCCTGATCATCATAACCATGGCTTCATGCACCGCAAATTAAAGCACGTCTTGAACACATTTGTACTCTCTGCTTTAAATGCGTCGTGGCAGCTGGATATTTTTAGCTGACTAGAGTTAATGCCCTTAGAGGAAATCTGCAGTCTATGTAACCACACGTGCTACACAGTCTCCACATGGAATCATTCTAAAGGACTAACCTTATATAAACCTGGGCTTATACACTAACACGGATCAATTTTTACATTGTTTCCACTTTTCAGGTTGATTTGCTGGAAACCCTTTCATGAAGATAAGTGAAGTATTTGAACAGTTTATTTGCTTACATACAACCTCTTACAAAATAAACTGGTCACAAAGATTATAGCCTGCCTCCTATTTCTGCCTCTGCCATTGAATAAATAAGAATATTGGCAAATTAGTCCACTGAGTTGCATCTCAATTTCCCCTAGCAGAAAATGAGAAAAATATACTTCACGGATTAACTGGTGGGACCCCAATACTTTCACTAATCACTGAAGCTCCCTGAATGAGACATTAATGTGTGGACTTGATGCAATATTTGAGAGAGTTTTGCAAGAATGTGTCACCCAGCACTTAGCAAGAACTGCAGTGCTGTGGCCGTATTTGCAGCTTTTAGAAAATGTAATTCTTTGAGTCAAGATAATCAGTAATCGTAAAAAAAAAAAAATTTATTTGTTTTATCTTATTTGATCACATAGTCTCTGAAATCAATAAACTACATTAGCCATTAAGTTAGTGTTGTAGTAACTTGGAAACATTAAACCTTAACAATATTTGCAGTAGTCTTGAGGATTCTTAGACTAAATTATGATTCTTTGCACACACAAACACACACACACACACACACACACACACACACACAGGCTGAAAAAAGCAGTGACATGATTACAGTTGGAAAATCTGAACTTCTGAGCGCAGATTGTCCACTTTCTGCTCAGAATCATTTTTTCTGTTTTTCTAAGGATTCTTGATCACAACTCTGGCAGCAAAAGTTATTCTCAAATGTTGCTGAATTTCAGAGTAGTTTTAGTCATTTAAAATACAAACTTAGTCGTTCTTTGTATGAAAAATAGACTGCTCACTAAAAATAGTCATAAATAATTTTCAACATAATATGCGTTGACATGAAAACACAGACATGTCTTATGACTACAGCTGAGTTATTCATGTTTGACTCACTGTGCATCGTATATGCCACATGAAGGCACGTGTCGGAGACGCTGAATCTGTGAGGAGTGCGTCGGAGACGGCACCTCGAGTGGGAGGAGTGAGAGCTGTAGAGACTCAGCTACACAGGTTTGGAGCGGCTAGATGGCCTTGTCCGGAAAGGGAGTGGGGACATCATGGGGAAGCAGGCAGGCTCGGAGCAGGGTGTGAACATCCCGGAAGGAGCTGAGAGCCCGCGGGACCCACGGCTGAGCCTCCCTGGAGGCCTCCCACGGTCAGATTTGTGGGGAGTGGGCGGTCCTGTCACACCATGTCGGGTACCCGGCAGCTACGCGATGACGTGGGACCAAAATACACATGTGTTAGTGAGAGTGAAAATAAAACGGTGAGCTCACGGGATTTATAAAGGCGTTAGGAAGTCTGCGGGTCAGTGATTGCTTCCTTTCACAGAATATGAGGGAGCAGCTAGACTCCACATTGCTCCTGGGTTTTGGATCCAACTGGATGAATGGCTTAGATGCGGCAGAGGAGAGAAAGTGCACATTTTGGATGGGAGGTAGTTACTCCGGGACCAAAGAGCAGCGTGAAGCCGTGAGAGGTTGTGAGAAACAGGGGCTGTTCGGCTCGTTGCGATGTGCGTCTGGGGCAGCGGTGAGTCGTGAAGGTGGCAGTAAAGCCCAGCTTGATCGACGAGAGCTTTGCAAATCACGGGGCGGCATTTCCGACCAATCCCGAGTCAGGCAGGGCCGTGGGAACACTGGCTCTTTGGAGTGAAAGGATCATATTGCATTTTATGATACAAATATGTTCTCTCTGTGCTGGATAAGAACATGGAAAAATGTGAATGAAGGCAGGACAGAAGCAAGGAGGGCATCCCAGTACTCAGGAGGAACATAAGAAAGATTGCCCTGTGAGAGTGGTTCTCTGTGTGTAGGACAGCACTGACTCAAGCAGTATTTGAAAAACGGGCCATTATTCTTGATCTGGTTATTAACAATTTGGGGAGATGATTAAGGAAAGGAAAAACTAAAACAAGCAAGCAAGCAAACAAACAAACAAACAAACCCGCTCGGGTTAATGATTCCAGCAAAGTGCTGTTTGTCACTGAGTTCAGATCGTTTCTGCTCGTGATGCTACCTTGGGGCACCATCTCATCACAGGTTTTAGGGTTCAGGCTCAAAACCTGAACTGTTTGGTGAGGTGGTACAGAAGCTCTTCCAAACCATGTTGTTACCTATTTTCCAAAGCTGAAATTCACCAATCCGACACGAGCCCTGAACTTTTATCCAACAGAGGCTTTTCCCCGCTGTTCTCTTTGTGCGCAATGCCCTTCTGTCCCGCTTCAGTTAAAATCTGTGAGGTGTTGCAGGTACCTTGACTTTACGCCACTCTCCGACCTCTAATTTCTCTCTGTGTAAAATGAAGATGGCAGCATTTGTCCTGCGTACCTCACATTTTAAAGACTTTTGTAATGAGAAGTTTTAGGTTTATAGCAACATTGAGGACAAAGTATAGAGATTTCCCATAGACTTCCTGCCACACACACACACACACACCCTCTCTGTTATCAACATCTCCCACAAGAGAGTTGCACTTTTGTTATAATTAATGAGCCTACATCGACATGTCATATCACCCAAGGTCCATAGTTTAGATTAGGGTTTACTCATGGTGTCCCACATTTTATGGGTTTGGGCAAATATGTAATGACATATATCTATTATTATAACATAATCCAGAGTATTTTCACTCCCCCAAGTATCTCTGCTCTGCCTCTTCGTCTCTCTCCACCTCCCAACCGCTGGCAACCACGGATGTTTTTACTGTCTCCATAGTTTCACCTTTTCCAGAAGGTCATATAGTTGGAAGCAGTGTGTGGGATTTTCAGATTGGCTTCTTTCACTTAGTGACATGCATCCGTGGTTCTCCCGTGTCTTTTCATGGCTCAGTAGTTCATTTCTTTTTAGGGCTGAATAATATTCTACTATCTGGGTGTACATAGTTTATTTATCCGTCCCCCTACTGAAGGACATCTTACTTCCAAACATATACAAGGGGACACTGCGTGGCTCATAGAGTAGGTGAAATCAACTAGGATCTTAATGTTATTTAGTTGAATATATTTTTTAAATCATCAATTGTTCCGGCTCCACATAGAGCGAAGTCCTGGTGGACCTGCTGGCCTGTCTGTGAAGATGGAGGAAAGTCCATCCGTTCAGCGACTCCCAGTACATCTGCACAGCACCACCTGTGACAG